CCGGAGCTGCGCGCACGGGACGCGCGGAATGTGAGGCGCGGCGAGCCGCTGCGCACCGTCGCTCGCGCGCGCGAAGGGCGGCGACCCCTCGAAGACAGTCGGCCGCGCCCGGCTCTCCGCTGCGCCACCGAGAGGGTCCCGGCTCTCGCCCTCGCGCGCCCTCGTGCCCTCCTGGTGTCCTCCAGCGCGCCGGCGGGACCATGAAGAAGTTCTCTCGGATGCCCAAGTCGGAGGGCAGCGGCGGCGGGGCGGCGGCTGGCGGGGCCGCGGGCGCCGGGCTCGGCGGCGGCTTCGCAAGCTCGTCCATGGGGGTCCGCGTGTTCGCCGTCGGCCGCTACCAGGTCACCCTGGAGGAGTCGCTGGCCGAAGGTACGGGCGCGGCGGGAGGCAGGTGAGGGAGGCCGGGGTGTGGCGGCGGCTGCGGGGCCGGCCCGGAGGCTGGGGAGTGACTCGGGCGTGAAGCCGCTGGCAGCTCCGATGCGGGCACGATTGCCTGCTTATGAGTTTGAAATCGTTCTCTGTTCTTCCTGGCGCGAGGAAAGAAATAGAAGACGTCCCAGTAAGTGATGTGGTGTCATGATTGGACCCGTGACTCATTAGAGGGTCAGCTGGAGCAGTGCTGGGACACTGCTTTGGCAGCTGGGGCTCCAGCGGGTGTCCTGCGTTGCTTTCGGGTCCTAGCCTCTCAGACTCTCAGGGCTGTGGACTCCTCTGGGGTTTGTTTCTGTTAAAAATCAAAACAAAACAGGACACCCAAACCTCTCTATATGGCTGTATGTATGCAGATTGTGTGTGTGTGTGTGTGTGTGTGTGTGTGTGCTGGCACGGTCTTCCAAGTTCAGTTAAGTGGCTGCTGCTTGGGGGTGGCATGGGGGAGTAAACTTGAAGTCCGTTTATCTTCCTTGTTTAGAATCTTCTCCACACAAGGTCCTGTGTTTGTCCCCTCTGTGTCATTTTGTTAGTACTTTAACAGGCAAAGTGGAACAATTTAACTTTCCCTTGTGAGGGTTTTGGTGGCTCTTTTATTGTCTGAGGGAGGTTATGACAACATGTAAAAGCATAGTTACAAAAAACAAAGTTTACTCCGTGTTAAAAAAAATGCTTGACTTTAGCTTTGTATCTCTGGTGTAATTGGCTTGTAGAAAATACTTTCAGGTTTCTTATTGCATGCCTTGACCGCTGAAGTTTTGAATGCAGAATATTAAGAAATACGTTGAGAAAGTCCATAAGAAATGTTTCTCATTGGAATGTAAGTGACTTTTAAAAAGTAGATTAAGAAAACCAGAGACTGTAGGGAGACGTCTTGATATTCACTGTTGACATCGTTTGAAAACAAGACAGATTCCACTTGTAGTCTTGAAATTCCATGAACAATAGGAATCGGTGCAAGAAAAAGCTGAGGGCTTCTGTCTATAAAATAAAGGTAAAGCAGACTTACATTAGCAGGGGTGTGTGTCTTGGTTTTGTAGGCCATTGTTCAGATTAACCCTCCTTTCTGAACCTTGGTGAAGTGGAGGGATGGGATTGCCAGATTTTCAGAAGAGTATCTGAGTGGTTTTGATAGGTTTGCTCCATTGCAAACTTTGCTACCTATTTATTCCTCAGGAATTTCAGGTGTGGGTTAAGTTGAGTAGGTGGGTATTAACTCACTCATGTTTTCAGTTGTTTAGTAGTTCACTGAAGTGTAACTTGAACGGTGTTATCTCACTGAATTTCAGGTCTCTTAGTATTAAGAAAAGTACTAACATTTCATCAGTAGACTGTAAATCTTAACATAGCCCTCGATATATTACCCCACAGCCAGTAACAAAGCACTGATATCACTGTTAACAGTGTTTGTGTGTGTGTGTGTGTGTGTGCATGAAAGGCAGGCCTGTACCACCAGTCTTTTTACCTTTTAAAATTTTGAGACAGAGTCCTGCTAAAGTTACTAGGCAAGCCTTGATTTTTCCATCCTCCCGCTTTAGCCTTCCAGTGCTGGGATTGTACCCAGGGTTGTTATCAACATGCATGGCTTTCTCTGACTTGCTTTAAGTGTTTATGATTGATATTTGGTGTGTGTGCCTGTGTACACTTGTGTTCAGAGCAATGTTAAGTGTCTCCCTCAGTTGCTTTTCACCTTAGTTTTTAAGACATTGCACTCAGAGCTCATCTATCTGGCTAGCCTTGCTAGGCTGCCTAGCCAGTACGCTCCAGGGATCAGGGATCCACCTGTTCTCTTTTTCTGCTAGCATTGGGGGTTTACAAAAGGAGACCACAGTGCTCAGCTTTTACAGGGAAATTGGGGATCTGAATTTAGGTCCTGATGATTGTTTGGCAAGCACTTTACCATTTGGTTTTTATCTCATTAAAGTTTATTTCATTAATTGCTAGGCGTGGTGGTGTTCTCCTTTAATACCAGGCAAGTGGATCTCTAAGGGTTCAAGGCCAGCCTGGTCTACATAACAAGTTCTAAGACAGCAGGGCTACAAAGAGAGACCACGACTCAAAAACAAAAAACCAAAAACCCCTGAAAATACCTACTTACTTGGCTTTAATGAGTGATCAGGTGGTAGGTGGAAGGAAAGGATGAAGGAACTTTTATGAAAGGTGGAATTTCCTATGTTTACACCTTGGCTCCTGGGTCAGGTTTAAATCTCTGGAAGGCAGGGCCTACCTAGGCTTCTGTCCAATGTGCTCGTCTTCCCTTTCTAGAACACACAATTGAAATACTACTCAGTTTATTTTTCGTCATTCTGCAGGCTAGGAGAGATGATGCTAGGCACAAGTCTGGTCCACATGTAAGTATGATTAATCAATAGTTGACAGACTTGTTTGTCATTTGAGGTAATTATATGTGAAGAAACATTGCATTCAGAGTGACCTCTTGTCTTTTCAATATACCACTCTGTGTCTTACTCTGTATAATTGGCTGTGTTCTACAAGTTGGAATGAATACTGGCTTAGCAGATACTGAATCATTGCTTCCAGGGGAAAAGGCAGGGTTAGATACCACGAAGTCTTACTTCACAGCATCCTTGTCAGCTGATTTATGTATGTGCCTGTCCTATGTGTGCTTATGTTTAAAGACATCTTGTTTAGTGATTCATTAGCATATCATATCTTTAGCTCAGGCCAGTAATGAAGATTATCTAACATGTTTTCTTTGAAGGAAAACCAGAATCTCTTGCACTTGTGTACTCTAGCTTGTGCTGTGCTCAGGAACCTTGTTAAACACAGAGGTCACCAGTAAAAAGCAGATGAGAAGAAACTTACGTGGTACACAGCATGGGAAGGACCCCTGCTGATGGTATGAGAGGTAATGAGCAACAGGCAAGTCCAGAGATCAGTTTCCGCCCGTTTGTATATCTGTAAGTGACGATTAACGTGCCAAGAGTAGGGACCCGCAGAGTTTTTAGCAAGTTGACAAAGTGACAAAGACAGAATGCTGAAATGATGACCAACTCTTGTCATACACGTGTCTGAATGGATTTGTGTGATACTTTAGCTACAGCCAGAGCACTTTCAGGGGCATACTTCTGTGTGTTCTAAATTGTTGGTGTAGTTTTCTCTGTGAAACACTTTTATGTTGCTGTCTTTCTAGTCAAGCATGTATATGCTTGAAAATGCTTGGAACTCCCCCTCCCCACTTTTCAGTTTCTACTCAAAGTTTTTAGGACTGATACCATAGAGAGGCGTTTTCTTGTGTTTTCTCAAAAAGTGACTCAGTTTCAGGAGTTGAACTAATCCTGACTTGGAGCTTTTGAATGAGACAGAGTCACCTGCCCATGTTAGCTTGAAATAACAATCACTTGTCAAGCACTATAACTCAGTGTAGCCTTTCAGCCTTTATTAAAAGGTAGGGCTGGTTTGTTGTTCATTTGCACATCCAAAAGAAGGGCTCTAGTGCTAGGGTAGGGGGCAGGAAGAGTGCTTGTTTGTTCCATTCTGGTTTTTTGGAAACAGTGTCTCATGTAGCTCTGGCTGGCCTGGAAACTTGCTGTGTAGCTGAGTCTCAAAACTTGCCGGCTCTTCCCAAAGTGTGAGCGCTTGCCACACACTGTGCTCAAGAAGTTGGTTCTTGTTGATGCGTATCTTTTCTGCCCACGTATTTAGTGTACAGAATGGATGTCAGGAGGAGAACGTGGATGAGCAGCTGAGCTAATTAGTCTTGAGTTACCTGGGCTGAATAGGAATGGCGCTGAGAGCGTGGTGAGGGTAATTCCTACTGATACACTTATGGATATGGCTATGCCGCTCTCAGTAATTGGAGAATTACAGAATTCTGTAAATACAACTTCTTAGCCTTCTCAGCATTAACTACTTGGAGTGAGTGAGTCTAAGCTGAGTATTAACTGCTCCTCATTGCTAATTTTATAGGAAAGTAGTAACATATGTACACTTAATTTTGCAGTAAGGTCAGTAGGGAATGATGAATTTAAGTATCTCACTCGAAGAAGTCATTTTTGGGTACCCAGTGACTTGAGTTAATGTTACCAAGAGAGGACAGGAAGGATAGAGGGGAGAATTTCCCAGAAATATCAGTGTTGTGTTCCACATTTGTATTAAGCATGGTTCACATCACTAATACAGCCATTCCCTAGCTCAGTACAACCTGGAGTGTAATGCGGAAGACAAACGTTAAATTAGTAGAAATCTCTTGGTTAATGTGGTTAAAAGTGAAGAGAAAGCATATGGTCTTCGAACGATTGAGTTTCGGGA